TTTTTTAAAATTTCCAATTTTTCTATTCTTACATTCGCCTATAATATGCAGTCCTCCCCTACTTACATTATATATATTTATGTAAAATATACAGATAAAAATAATAAAGTGGTAGAAAAAGTTTTTCGCATTCATTCTTCCCTCATTCACAATTAAATTTATCAGTTGTTCAATCTGAAATTTATTTGCTTTTGTTGTCGAAAAGAATTAATTTATCATTGTCTAAAGATTTGAGTGTTTTCTTTTCCACAATTTTTCTCCTTTTGTTTTTCTTTTTTGTTGATGTTATTTTGCAAACAATATATTGATTGGATTTATAGTTTGAAATATAGCCTGAAATTATATTCAAGTAGGAAAAATAACCTTTCCTTTTCTCTTTAAGAAAATTTACTATTATAATTAATTAACTAATTTTAAGAAAATTTTAATTAATTTTAAAATTAATATTTTAACACAAGTTAATTTTAAAATTAACAATTCATCTTAATTTCAGAAATTTCAAATTATCGGTTCTGATTATTTCATTCCATACTTCTTTCTTACTTATTTGCTGTAATAAATTTTTGCAGAGATGAAATCTACTCCAATATTTGCAATTATTATTGCCATATCAATACCAATAATTGTTACGGCAAAAATGAGAAGTGTTGGAGTAAGAGGAACTGTTATTTGTGATGGAACACCGATAAGTAATGGAGAGGTTGAACTCTATGACGAAAGAAATGGTTCTTTTATTTTTATTTTCACTAAATGAAATTTGTTTGAATTTAATTAAAAAAATAATTGTTTATATGAATTAATGATTTTGCTGCTTATTTGATATGTTATTTCAAGTTTCTAATTTTTAAGACTAGAATTAATTTACAAATGTTTTCTTTTCTTTGGATGCTGAAATTAGATTATTGTTATGGGAAGATTTCTAGTGGATTGTTAAAGCCCAATTATTCCGAGAATTTTAGGGAAGTCATGAAGATACTGGCATATGTCACCACCAGTTAATTACATGATGAAATTGAGGATTTTTACTTGGCCAGTTAATCTAAGTTTAAGATTGGAATAATATTTTTTATGAATTTTTAAGATGGTAATTTTTTCTGAGCTAAATTACTGTATTCTTGAATGTTAATTGTGATGTAAGTGTAATACTTTAAATTTAATGCTTCGAGCGAAAAATCCATTCATATCAAGGCCACAAGAATGTCCGGTCATTGTAGATAGCATTTTCGACGGTGATAATATGATTGCATCCCATATAGGGCAATTATATGAACTCCTTGAATGAATGGCTTTAATTAATTATTTTGAAATATTTTTCATAATTTCTCAGCTGCAAGAGCAGACGCATTACTTGCGAAGACAAAAACGGATGCGAATGGACGATTTACAATTAAAGGAAACTCGAAAAGGAGTAGGTTCGATCCACACTTCACTATCAGTCACAAATGTCGTGCAAAGGTTTGATTCTATTATAATTTTGAAAGATTGGCGATAACACATATCTTCGAAAATTTGTTGAGAAATCAAATATCAATTTTAAATTTAAAAAATAAATAACAAACTAGAAAACAAACCGAAAATTTTTAACAATTTGTTTTCCCAAATATTTGGAAAAATTTGCAGTTATGCACACGTAAAATGCTCCTCCGTGTTCCTGAGAAATATACTACATCCGGTCCAAATCCAAGCGAGATATATGATATTGGTGTTATTGATGCGAAAATAAAATTTCCCACTGAAACAAAAACGTGTCCGATCTGAGACTTTCAACGATCAGAAATTTATTTCAGATTTTTACATGAATGCAAAAATGCTGTTCTTATATTTGATTAAAGAAGAAATAAAAATATACAAATAATACTTGTTAAATCTAACGAATTTCAAGCCAAATAAAGATTTAGTATCATTTGGCTTTTGTGATTGGAAAATTGGCATTAACAACTGATCGAACATGATAACACATCTATAGAGCAACATTTTAATAGATTCGAATTTTTCAGCAAACATTTTGGTTATGTGAAAATAATGAGAAAAAATTAATAAGTCTAACATTTTGACAGAGTCTATCATTTCCACTTCATATAATATGGAAACAAGAAATAAAGAGATATTTAAACTTTCTAAATATAACTGCAAAGGCCTCAAAAGCTAAGAGGCAAACAGAGGCAATGAATTTGAAATGATAGAATTAACAATGACCTAAAAAGGGAAAACCATGAAAAGGCGCGATATCGATCATCTGAATTTCAAACAACGATAAAATGAGAGAGACATTTTTTCCTATTAAATAAAGATTCGCTTTTTTTGCGTACATGAGCTCTTGGAAGTATTACATACTTTTACCTACGCGATGATCCTCACTGTCGATCTTCCCTATATTTATGTTGTCCGGAGATGTCACGTAGATACAACTCAAGCTGGATTTTTAATATCAGAAGCGTTATAGAATAATAAAACTGATCAGATCACCAACAATAATCTCATAATATTTATCAAAGTCACTTATTAAATGCCATCATGGCTGGTGCTTCAACATGACATACATTTAGTTTATGTAAAAGTTTTGTCATGCTTTGAGCGACATTTATTCAAGTTTCATTCGCTTTTCCATTTTCCAACTTCATCGGCTATTTAAGAGCCAATGCAAACATTGGGACTTGACTATTTACGGGTCCATAGAGATGAACGGTGTTTAATACAATTTATAGAGCCATCAAGTAAGAGCTATCAATTTATAGAGCTATCAAATAATACATGAACGGTGTTTAATACAGTTTATAGAGCTATCAAGTAAGGTAAAAATCTTCACAAATACATGATCATATTAACAAGCAATTTTTAAAAGTTAATTAAAGATACAGTATTAAGGGTATACTATTGGAAAGTTCTTCACAAAAGGATGCTAAATTTGTGCATAGAATTCACAATGTTACCTCCATTACCTTCTATTTAATCTTGCAATCCTCCTTTATTTCTTGCCCTGATTAAACAGCTGTAAATCAATATCTCTTAAAATATTTGATATTCTTGATGGTATGTTTTGTGATACAGGAAAGAACTATTATTCTGTAGTTTAAGTTGTTCCAGGACTATGACAGATGTATTCTATTGGAGTAACACGATAGTAATTTAACGGAAACATCTGAATTAATGGAACTCGTGCTTTATAACAATATTTTTAGCCAGAATTTATAACTCTGGAACTTACCCTGGAATTTAATTATCATCTTTAAGCATAATTCAATAAATGAAAAACAAAAGAAGTTAAAAAGTGAAAAAAAGAGAACAATGTATGCAATATCCTTTAATAAAACAACTTAATGAACTGATTTTCCACCAGTAAATTGAATCACTACTTTCTATAACTCTTTCCATTTTCTTTCCGGAATCAGTTCCTTTGGATTTCGATTAGTTAATTAGTAACCAACCTTTTGAACGTTTTTCCTATACAAAAAACATTTTTTTGTAATTGACAAGCTAGTTTTCAGCCAAAAATTGAATTTCGATAGAATATTCCCTAAACTATTATTTGTTAAGTAAATTCAAACTGTAAAGAAAAAGCAAATAAAACTTCAGGTTCCAATTACTTAAAAAAACATAGACAGCTGTGGAGCTTAAACTGTTATACCACATTTTATTTCATTATTCAATCGTCGTGATTGATCAGGCATTCAATTGTTTCAATTACATATCCGATGTAACTGAACCTTAAGCTCTAAAAAAACTAGATCAGTCGTCCAATACATAATCTATGCAATAGTTAAGTGATAATTTCAATAAGATTCGATATATAATCTTAGAATGATATATTTGAAATTTGCTCAATGAAATTTTTGCTCATGGACAGAAAGAAAATCATTTAAAAAAGTGCCACCGGAAAAAAAAACCATATAAATAAACAAAAAATTATAGAAAAATTGTGTTCCTGAGCAGAATATGAGAGATATAATAAGTTATAGAGCCTATGGTAACATCCTTTTGCTGATTTCCCTACGGAAAACAAAATTGCGTAATACGGCAAAATTTGACGATAACAGACCAACACCAACGATAATTTCGTTCTTAACATGAAAATTCCAAATGTTTTTTACTTCTTCGTCTTTGTCTTTAATACGTTTAATCACTTCTTTGTCGTTATCTTTTATCCATAACATGAGTTTCAGAGTCTCGTCACAAACAGCTTCCACAATATAATCTCCATTCAAGCATAAGTTGGTCACAAATAGTCTAAAGAACGTGAATGAATGCTACAACTAGGTTGTTTAAAGTGATAATCTGATGCCCATTTTTAGGTTTTTCTCACATATTTGCTTACTTCTGAGCCATTCATTCTAGCTTTTGAAAGGTTACTTTTTAATTATGCATAGAAAAAGCATACCAAACGGGAGAATGCCAATTACAAGAAACTGTGGTTTGAAGCTATTGGTTAATCTGCTGAAAAAATACAGCTTCCCTTTTTTACTTACCCCTCTCAATCATCCCCTCATTCTTCACGGTACAAAGCCTAGTTTTTAAAGTCAAAACTTCCAATACCTGTACAAAGATGGCCCCTGAAGAACAATATGCATACCAGAAGACTCTGGAAATGCACCACTTGCTAGATAAAAAGGCTGCATTTTCGCTTCTGCCAAATTGTAATACTAAAAAAATGACACTAAAAAAAATATGTTCAGCTAATACACCAAGAAGTATTAATAAAAATTAATTTCCAACTAAGTACTAACCATTCACTAAAAATGTAAAGTTCGTATTAACGAGATTTGCGATGACTACATTGTCAGTCTTATTGAGGAGTCTTATGATGTGATTACGTCTAATAATTTCGTAACTACAAGTCTAATAGTTTCAATCCCTTACTACTTTGAATAAAAAGTTGATTCTTGCAAAATTTCGCACCGAGATATTACAAAAATAATTGAAATTTGAAACTAGAGAAGCACACATCATTTGTTTCAACCGTAAGTAAACGAAAATGCAGGAAAAAAATTGAAGTGATGAAGTCAGCTAAAAAAAACTAAGAGACAGATTTTTGTGTATCAAACATCTATTCATAATTAATTGTTCAAATTTCAGAAAACCAAAAGGTCTATTTCGGATACAGAACCGCCTCGATATCACTCACGTTTTAGTCTCTATGAGACTTACGACAGTAACGGTAAAGGATACCTTGCAAGAATCCCTGTGATTATAACCACAATTAAAATCGGTATCAATTGGTAACGTTGTCAATGGATGTGGTCGAACAAATGTAATCAAACGATCCCAAAACCTGCACAAATGTTTGAAATGAAGTATATGAAATCAATCAATTCATTCGTTGATCAATGCTAAAAATTTCTAATGTGTCTACTACACTGCGCTGCTTCATAGAATAGACTAATCAAATGCTTAAACCGGGAATTTTTTTAAAATATTAGTTGGATATTTCCAGGAAATATGTAGGTGCTACTGTTTTTTCAAAAGTCAGAAAGAAAACGATAAAGAACCGAAAGATGAGAAAAGGGAAATCTATGCAGCATACCGTGTTAGCTTGGAAGTGATAGGAAAAAAAGTACCGTAAAGAATTAACGATGATTTCTCGACAAGGCATCGCTTCGGCAATCCATCCAGGAGCAAACAAAGCGATTGAAAGATTATTCTGCCGTGGATACATGAAAGCTTCATAACAATTCCAACCACCACCACCTGGAATCTAATGCTTTTAGAATAACTTCAAATCACGATCAAGCAGAGGTTTTATAGGCTGAACTATACATAATATTTATTATATGCTGATGTCATTGTACTGAATAGGATTATCATAACTTTAAAATGAAGGGAAGGATGCAAATCAATCTGAAGTGCGCACCTATAATTAATAGGTGCTGAATTTTAAATTCGCAAAATATTAAGCAAGCTTATCAAATAAAATCAACACCTTCTTGTGAAATTGAATTGTTCCAGATAGTTTTACATATTATGATAGAACATACTTTTATTTTCATGATAGAACTGTGCAATTACAATGAGGAGTGAAAAATTACCGTGACATCCTCGACCAAAACAATCAACTCCAACAAAAATATTCCGATGGCGATGTTTGGCTTGTACAGCGCTTGTCGCTAACTGTTTTACATTCCATATATAATTTAAAAAAATACCATCCGTAATATCGAACCATCTCCTTTTTTACAATAAAATTTATAAAATTTTCCTAGCTCTAATATTGCAAAGAGAGGAATGTTCGAATACCATAATACCATGGTAACATAAAATACGAGTCGATCGACAAAAATATTTATCAACGTAAAAAGCATGCGATTATACGAATGGTCTTACTGGTTTTTCTCGTTCAATTCATTTTGCCATTTCAGTTCACCATCTATTGTAACCGAATCATACCATATAATGCGACTCCGCTGACCAACTGCTTGCCTCATTTCATTCGTAAGCGTTCTCAAGAAGAGATCAAGATACATGATGGATTCTTTCTGAAACAACCATAATTCTATTAATTAGATAAACTCCTTAGTCGTAAATCAGTATTTTATTCTGATGAATCATCTAACTAAGAAGATGAAGTCATTTCGATGAAAAATAATGATGTTGAATCCAGTTCTGTAAATAAGTAAAAGAAATTATTGGTAACTACGGAACTAAATAAATGAGAAATGAGATAATAAGTAATCAATTAATGAAAAAAAATAAACTAGAGAAAATTATGAGCGAAAGAAAGCAATGTTTTCAATGAACAATTATTTTGTAATAAAATCTCTTTTCTTTCTAATTTTTCAATAATAAAGTTTATAGTTTTAAATTCAAATTTCCACCACTAAAGTTCATTTCATTATATACATATCCATATGAAAGCCTTACATCTACTATTCTTTTTCCTGAAACAAAATATTATTATTAATTAGAAATCATGTGAAAAACCAAACTTCTATTTTATTCTCGATATTAATTAACCAGCCTTCAAAATTATATTTCACAGCAATATTCACCAGTTTTTTCACCGTTTTTGCCACACTATCTTCGTTTTTGAGAAATTCCTTACAAAGATCAGCTCCTCCATGCCATTCGGTGATTAATGTTCCTAAATACTATGGAAAAAAAAGAACGATGTACAGGAAAGAGTAAATACTTCCAATTACTAAACATAGTTACTAAGATTGTCTGATGTGTCAGAATAATATGAGAAGGGCGACATTGCATTCTAAACATTTCGTGCATCATTTTCCAAATTCAACAATAGTTCATGAATCGAATCTTTGAACTACTCTTAGTAACTCTTCCGCTGAATAGGTCATTAATTCTTCGCAGCACTAGTATTAGACGATCTGTTTAATCTTATTTGTTTAATGATTTGTTTAATCTTATGTTTAATCACTAGTATTTGTCTAACTTATTGATGATCTTTTCATCTTTTTAGTTCCGTAACTTAGAGGATTATTAATGATAAGGTGAAACAAACGCTTTTTCATTTTACAAGAAATAAAGAGAGCATGCTACTTCCGACAAATTTACACTACGTAAGTTACCAAAAATTTGAAAAAGTTTAATATATTTTAACAACTGAAATAGAAAGAAAACACCGACATGGGCACTTACTCCAACTTACAATTGTAGCTACCACCATGGATATTTAAGAAATTTTCATATTATTAAACAATGTATTGCTAAATCCAGTGCTTTCATTTAAATAATCATCTTTTTTGAAGAATCTTGACTAAACTGAAAATTGTTTATCCGAAGATTCATGCTCTATTCTGTCTGAATTGGTAAAATTCCCATTTTGAGAAGATTCCGATGCATATCTTAACTTTTTTAACATCTTTACCAATCATATTCCCATCCTAACACTTCTGAGGTAAACAGGAAGACCAGTTATAAAAGGTCCACGATGTAATTTCTGTTTAACGACCGCTTTTAATCCGCCTAATAAAACAATTACTGATAGAAACTCCAACTTGATGACAATTTTGAAGAAAACTGAAATTATTACTGCCTCCTGAACATTCAAGTATATCTTGCATAAGTTACTTATAAATATGCAATTATAAACTCTACAGTCGCATACAATAATAAATAAAGTTATTGAAATTCACCAACCAAGTACTATAACACCATGCATATGAGCTTGGTTAATCCAACCTAAGGGCGGAATGGTAATGAAATTATGCGAGAAATATACGAAAATATCGATGTACCACCAATGAAAAAATATAAATGGAGCTGTTGAATCTGTTACTTTACAACCGTCTAATCTAAAATATAGGTATAATACATACATATATATATATCTATATATCGGTCACTTTATAACAAAATTTGAAATTACCTTTCTTCATCAAGATATCCTCCTTTCATATCATGACAAAGTAATGTTTCTGGATAATCGCGATACCTTGTATAATTTTCTAATGAATTGCCAATCAGACAATGTGGAATGGTGTTTTCATTCCAACTCCATAACTGGTTGAGGTTAGTTATCGGAAATGTTGCCAACATTGGTGGCGAAAATGTTTACCACTCGTTTCTTGTAAACAGATAACGATATCCTGCAAAAGAAAGTTCAAACTTTTATTCAATCGAAAAAAATTTTTATACTATTAGCAATGTCGTGAACTTTGTCACGATTTTCAGTATTGCCATAGCTGGACTTCGTTATATCGACAAAGACAAGACATTGCTACACCACGGCAAAATATATTCCCGGATGTTACAGGCAAACCGGAAAAAAAACGTTAAAAAGCATTGCAGGTATGGTGATAAAGCCAACTATTTCGAACAACAGCAGAATCAAATTTTGATAGAATACTTTGGCTGGAAAGTCGGTTTTAATATTATTGAATTGTGAATGACAGTCTTGCATGGTGCATCAGCCAACTATGAGGCGATGCAGAATAATCGGAAATATTTATCGGATTATGAAATAACATTTCGATAAATTATGCAGAGTCGATTTATTATACTTATTGCATGTCGAAAACATTTAATAGACGAATAAAATCACAATCAAATACTTAATAGCCTATCGTACAAGTCATTAGAAACAAAAAAATTAAGAATTTGTAGCTGTAAATGATCTGACTAAAAACTCATTTAATTCAGCAACTTACATAAAAGAAGCATAATAATTATTAACGCAAAATGTGGCTCCGTTAAGATTAGTGGTTTTTAGCAATAAATCAAAAGTAAGAGATCCACTAAGATTAGCGGATTTTAGTAATAAATCTCGAAATGATTCATTCAATAACAAAAAAAGCAATATGTATAACTGTAACTAGCAATACGTATAACTAAAAGTTAGTAAATTTTCGAATGTAAATTAAAATAATATTACGGAATTTTCATCATTCCTACATTGGAGCAAAGTTGAATTAACGCAAAAACGTTATACCACATTATATGAAGTATGAATGGATGTTTGAGCAACGAAACACGATATATAAATAACAAGTAAACAAACAAAAATTATACAAATAAAACCAAAGAAAATGAACAAAAAGATAGTGACTTTCACTTCAAAGTTCATCATCCACCTCTTCAGAATCCTTCTTTAATTTATTCATCATCTTTTCAATTGTCTTCTCCTTCTCTTCATCACTCAGAATTTGCGCCTTTCCTGACTCTTCATCCGTCATTGGTGTAACGTCCACAGCTGTGCATACTTCTGAAGAAAATACCGATCAATTCTGAATCTTCGTTCTAATAATTTAATTTTATCTCTAATTCTAGAAAAAAATCGACTATGATAGGTATGAAAAGTAAACTATGAAATAAGCACTGTCATTAATTTAGTGTAGTACCAAACTTCATAATTCTAACTTTTTTTGTTAAAATAAAAATTTCAACAGACCAACTTATTGTTTTGTGGCAGAACTGACGCACTGGTTCCTCACACTTTTTGCCTGAGAATTTAATTAACTGATCCTCATATGAATCCAAAAAATCACTGCACTGAAGTAGATAAAACAGCTAATCCAAAATTGAGAATTTAACGATGAAAATTAACTAACTAACCATACTTCTCTTATCTCTTATTCTTTTCAGTTTAGTTTAAAAGAGTTATAACTTATTACATGAGAGAGAAAAAGAAAAAAATAAAAGATTATGAGAAAAAATAAAGGAAATTCAAATTTCTATTTAATACAAAACACAAATTCATTCACAATTGATCGATAGGTAGATACCGCATCTTCAAACTGGTGGATGGTTAGACGTTCGGGTACTTGTTTCAATTTCAATGTTGCACGACGCGCATAAACACCTTTTCCGGTCCTAGGATGTATCACAGCTGTCCATTCTGAACTTTTATCACAAACTGTCTCCAAGATTTCTGATAATTGAATTTCGGACCTCAATAATGACCCCTTCAAAAGCAACGTTTTGTATATATCTAGTAAATGTTTTGAAATTTTTTCCAGTCATACAAAAATCCCGTTAAAATTTCAAAAAATTTATTCTTGTAATAGTAATAACTTTTCGCTTGCCTACCTTCCTTACTTTCAATTTTCGATTCCAAAATTCGACATCATGGATTATCTTCCCCATGTTCCTTAATTAATTATTTGTTTAGAAAATACCAAAAACAGGAAATATGGTGACCTATAATGTCGAATTTTGTTTGAAAATTTTGGAAGAAAATTTTATTGCATTACTTTATCAGTAAAGTTTTGATTCTTCGTTCCACTCGGCCAGTAAGAATTTTTTCCTCGCTTTTCTTCTAATTCAGCGATCTTTATTTCCATTTCCGTTACAACCATTGTACAGGCTTAAAAAAATAAATCAACTTGTTTTAATGTCCATTCATCACCATGAGCCATATCACTACTATTAGGATGAAGGATTGCTAATAATTCGACAACATCAAAGCAACACATAGCTTATGATTTTGTTCGGAAGTAAACGGGAATCAGCAATGTTGAGTAAATGTTGAATAGTTGTCAAATCAGGTATAATGTCTAGATGCAATAATAATTCTCTCAGAGATGGTTGTATTTTAAATCTCATATTAGTAGCTTATAATTTCGAGATTAACAATATTCTGATAATAATCATGCAATAACGCTGCAATTATAGTGAAAGGTACACATGTTGAACCATTCAAGTAATAACTACTAACATTTAATAAGCATTACCTCCACAAGTAGCACTAGCCGTTGGAACAGCAAAACATTCTGATATGAGTGATAGAAGAATGCATAACGATATCCAGATCGAATGAACAAGACAATCCATCTATCAGCACTCTAGAAACCATATTACCACTTTTTTTGAAAATTTAAAGCAAAATGCTTATTTTGTAAAAATTCTAATTCGACGAGTTAAAATAACCATATTATGAATAATTCGTTTATATAAAAGGCCATTTAACATTAAATGATCTAAATCTGCCCTCAATTTTTCATGAATATCACAACAATGCACGTAAAAGGTAAGCATGCACTGCCTTAAATGTTTTTCTTTTTTGAAATATTTGATCTTTGACTATTTCAGCTTTTCTCATGTTCACATCATGTTTATATTTCAGATGATCTTATTCTTTTGAATTTTACCGCGATATATGCAAAAAATGGTTGCATTATAAAAAAGATGAAAGAGTGAAAAGATCATTTGTATGATCTACAAAATGATCATCAACTATGGAGTTGTTTTATGTTCACTACTGTTAATTCAAGTTATGTGTCGCCCAGTGCGCTCTACAAGAGTAATCATATATCATGTAAGTAAAAAAATACTACAAATACTTTTCCAACATAAAAATTCAATAGTAAATGTGAAGTTCAATGAGAATTATCAGATTTGAAAGCATTAAGTTAGTCTAAATATGTGATAGCTGTCATAAACAACATATTTACTATCAAATTATTATACAAAACGTAAAATAATGATAACCAATAACGCTTACAATGTTTAAGAACATTAAATATGACAAAACCGAGTGTGATTTGTGACGTTCAGTTGCATTGTTTACGTGATGGAATTTTGTGGGCTTCGTTAAATACTCTTCCATTTCCGTACTCGTTGCAGCCATTTCGTGATGTTTTTCTGGATTGTTTTAAGAGTACGGCTTATGCTATATTTAAACATTTTGATTTTTATGGAGAATGTAATTATCCTCATTGCTGTTAACCTCTAACCTTAGCAACGCAACTGACATTAATTACTATAACCATTGATCATTGATTTTGATAAATTTGCTCTTATCCGTTTTCATCGTTATAAACTACTGATCGTAGCGATTTGATCTTTATTTTTTTTTATTTGATTTGATTTTTTATTACTGAGCGCTGGTCCTATTAATTAATTGTTCGTTTCGTCCTCATTGCAGAATGCTAATCTTGGAATTCAATTCGTCTTCGTTTTCATCGTTAACACTGACTATACAAATTTAATAATTCCTTGTTACGTTCTTGACACTTATTACTTCTACAAAAACCATTGTTTAAATTTTCTAAATGCGTCTTTCTACCACTATTAGCCATTGATCTATTTCTGTTTGCTTCCATTGTTTTCAATCGCTTAGAAATTCTGTTTTTACTCAAAAACTGATTAGAAGGCCCGGCTTACTTAAGATGCTTAAGTCGTTTAATGAATTATCCACTTAATTACCTGTTTTAATTATCTGTTTTTACTAACTGTTTATTTTTGCTGTTTCTTTTTGTAGTCTTCAAACTACGCACAATTTCTACTTTGTTATGACAATTAACTTGATAGATTTATTCGGAGGGTAATGAACAATTAAATGACGAGGAGGAAGAGAAAGGAAAAAAAAGATATTTCATTGATTTCAGGAGGAATTATTTTTCGAGAGTTATCAAAAGTTTTGAAAATACAACATAAGAGATCACAAATATCCGTTGTCATTTTATATTGTTTTATTTATATGTATCTAAGATCAAGATTTTACCGTTTTCCGATATAAGGTTTTTTTTTAGGAAAGTTCTTTGGTAAAAAGAAAAAGTGGATAAGATGTCTTGCCCGATGTTGGAGTCAAAACTTTCGGCATCAGTAAAAGCATCGATCAGTGTCACTCCAGCAGTTAATGCTATTATTACTACTACCAATAGTGATACTTCTGGTACTACTAATAATACGATTAATTCAATGACTTATCCATACAAGAAGCGCGTTCGAGAGGAGTTTGAAAAAAGGCAGCGTGAAATCGAAGAAGAAGAGAAACGATTGAAGTTATTGGCGCAAGCAGAACAGCAGTTGAAACTGCAACTAGAGCAGCAATTACAACAGGAGAAAGAGCAGCAATATAATCAACCCCAGCAGCAATCCAAGAAGCAACCTCCAAAAAAGCAGCAACAAAAACAGAAATATGAGCCACAACCAGGAACCTCAGGTATATCATCGATTGCTGCAACTGCATTTACTGCTTCTGGAAGTGTTCCAGGTTAGTTTAATTAAGAAAAGATTTATGTGTTTGTTGTTTATCTTACATAGAATTAATTCACTGAAGCCAACCAACTTTTAATCATTCTCACATTCGATTTGATTCTTCATAGTGCTTGTTTAACGCTTAACTTTGCGATTTTTTGTTTTTAATAACATCCAATCCAATCATTGCCGTTGTAATATCAAAATGACTCAATTTAGCAAGTAAGGATTGTGTAACTGGCATGCACCCAGGGTTTCAACTTACGTAGTTGTTAGGATATACATCTAAAGTCATTTGGTTTCTTAAAATATTTATTTTGAGAGAAGTTTCAGATGAAGTAGGAACGAGTGCTATAAATCGACCTGAACTTCCAAGTGCTGAGATGCCACAGCAACACTTGCATGACGATGAATCAGATGTTGCAGAAGAAGAAGCGGAGGAAATATCTAGTGATAGCTCTGAATCTTCAGGTGCAATTTTTTTTCTCTTGTGCTATTGCCAAATCACAGGAACTAGGTCTTAGTGTTTTTTTTTAGATTTCTATGAAAACAGAATCTGAAAGATTTTTTTCTATTGAACAATGGGGGAATTAAAGCTGTATGTTTCTGTATTCCAAATTAAAATAGGCAAAAACAAGGATATATTTTTAGAATAGAGAAAAAAAACGGAACAATATTACGTTTATTAATACGTATTAATTTACCTCACGCTAGGCGAGACACCGAAACAAAATGGAAAGCTTTTTAAGTGTCCCACAATAATTAAGCCTGAGAGAGGTATCTTCATATGATAACATTAGAGTATGACACCGAGTTCTTGCATATTTGAATTTAAAAGGTTGGAGAGGTGAGCAAGTGCAGGACACAGATTCATCTGCAACACTAGTTCGAATATGCTGAAGTTATGCCAATAATGATAGTTATAACAGTCTTATTATTAATAAATATGACATTGTGTTTTTTTTTTGTTTGTTTGTTTAGTGTTTTTATCAATAACTTAATCGAAGGCAGGTTAACAAAAAGAAACTGTTAAGTCCCTGACATTGTATATCCTCTTTACAACATGTAAAATGTTTAGCATATTTTTGATGCATAATTATGCTATTAAATGGCGATTCGAACAAGACGAATTCATTGATATAAAATATTTTTCAGATGGCACTAATTGGTCTGAGCTAGATCAGGATGCTCTGGAAGCAAAAGCATGTTGTTGTTTGGCAACTCTCACTGGCAGAAAAGCCATGGCATGTGGTCGCCCAGCGTTTGGTATTTATTTTAGCAACAAATTACGACAGAAAGCATTGAAAAAGAATCTTCCCTTTGCATATAATAAAGGGGTAATTATTTTTAGTGTTGTTTTTCTTTTGAATTACTGTTAAATAATCTAAATTATTTAGATCTTTATTAAAGAATAAAAAAAACTTTTATTTTTCATCTTTTTACCTTCAGACTTGCGTTACTTGTTGATAGCTTAGCATAGTATCCATCTAAAATAGACCATATATGCTTAAACATTTTCTAAGCTGGAAGATGAATGAGATTAGAAGAACATCTTTTTTCCGTGATCCAACAGATCATTTTTGAGTAAACAGTGAGCTTGCAGAGAGGACATTGGTATACATGCTTGTTTCATTATCGTGTAATCATGCATGAACCAAAATTAAAACCTAATGAGAAGTATGAAGCAAGAGATCTCACCAAATACTTGACGGGAGAAGTTACAGAAGATGAATTTCAAGCTTTCAAAAATGATCCATTGACGAGAGTGAGTTACTTCATGACTATATTTCCTTTCCAATTTTTCAAACTTTCTACCACTCCTGATTATTGCACATTAAATTGGCTTACAAATATGCTTATTTTTCAGAGTTATATGAAAGATTATGAGCAGTTAATGGCTACGCGTGAAATGCAAAAAAAGAAAAAGAAAAAGGTTTTGCATTTGCATATTTTACATGATGCGAAAAACTTGTTATAACGAAGAGATATGCTCCAAATGATTGAGTAGAATTTTCCGTTCCAAGTTAAAGCTTTTCAAATTTCAGAAAGGACGACCAGGAGTAAATGGTGGTGATGCTGAAACAAGCGATGATGAGACTCCAAGGTGTGTTTATAAATCTTTGAACCATTTAATTGAAATAGCTCATGCATTTCTTAGAAAATTATTATATGTCATTTCATGAATTTATTATAGCGTTGGTGCACTGACTGGAATTTGGCCATTCATGAGCACGAATTTTCACACTATGAAACCAGATGAGGAAGTGAATGCATCGCCATCAGGAGAAGGATCAACAAGTTCAACCGTAACTTTTTTCATTTTGTAATGCAGTTTTGGAACATAGAATCTTGCAAACTAATCGTTCATTAGCATCTTATCATTGCTTTTTTTGGAAGTTATATAAAATAATATTCGATATGTTAAAACATGATGTAGGTTACGGAAAGGCATGGCGTAAAAATGCTCATGAAAGACATTTTTTTGTTTTCGTAGAGCATTTGGAAGGGTCAAAAAACATTCTCTAACTGAGTAGGAGGAGAACGAGTGTTATCTCAGCTCATTTCAAATTTCAATATGTTGTGGGAGTTACTGAAAAGTTATTCTTTTTCATCAGTGGTGAAGAATAGGGTTATTTTTAATGTAATAGGAGACATTGAAGCTCGTGAAAATAGCTTTAAAATGGCTGAATAGAATTTTTCTAAAATTGCTTTTTCAGTCTTCGCATGTACCTTTTCATGCTCTTTCGGCTACCACCTTACGACGTTACAAAAAATATTTCAATCTTCCCCATCGTTCAAGCACCAATACAAAACAGCAGGTCCAAATATTTAATTAACTCAAGCTCAACTAGCGATCATTTGATTTATTATTGCTTGCTTAGATGCGTAAGATATCGCTTGATGAGCGCGATGATAAAGGCAACTAGGAAGTGCGATAGCGATTAAGAAATGTTCTAGTGCGATAGCGATTAAGAAATGAATTTTTTCTTTTTGAAGTATGTATTTTTTCGTATATAATGAAAAAATTAATATATTTGAGCGCATTCTTCTGTAAGATAATTAAAATTTGTTTAAATTTTTCCTAAGGTAAGGGTGAGGATTGAAATTGACTTCTGCTTCATAGTGTAGAAATACGATTTTCTCGACTGAAGGTGCTCGGAAGCCAGATTAAATGTACAGCAGCCAGTTGTTGTTCGTGATGGTGTGATAATTTTTTTTTTTGAACATTTTAGTGTTTTGCTGATGAATGTATATTTTTGGTCAGCTTATTTCATGTACTGTCACAGTTAACTTGCAGCAGGAAATTTAAAATATTCAAACAAGAATTTTATGTGCAGAACTTTCAAGATATCCAGTCAGAAATGGTAAAATTAAATTGCAGCTTCTGGAAGGTATAATGGAACACTTCGAAACAATTGATGCTCCTGCATTCGAGACAATCGCTCATTTTCTGCATATTGCCAAAACGCATAAAAATAAGTTGGACTATCCGATTGTCGATTCGTAAATAACGATTCATTAGCATGGAAATAAGGTACTTCTCATCTTTTGCATTTTTTTACAAAAGCTATACTGTAAATATCGTGATTATTTCCGCTTGAGAAGTTTATATCAAGGGCATTTCACTATAAGACATCTTTTATGTATTCAGGTTTTCTGTGTATAAATTTTGTTTATCTTGCTTTTTTACCAAAGCTGGAGAATTGTGATCAGAATTTGATTTTTACCATTTTCAAACTTCATGATTTTTTTGTCCTTAATATCTGTTACAATAATGTTGAGAATGAGAAAAGTTGTCATTTTTAAGTAGGTTTTGAATTTTTTAACTTTAGAGATTTTAGTTTATTCTTTAGTTGAAGAAGTAATGGATCGTTAATTGCCCAAATTACACGAATATTGAATGTATTATGTTTTTGGTACTAGAAAATATTTTTATATTCTGAACGAGACTCACAAAGTCATGAAATAGATGATTAATCGCATTCTGTAAGTGATCATCAATTTTCCAGCAATGACTATACTAATGTTTTGTAGAAATGACCCTCTTCTAACTCTGCCGAAAGCTGAACGTTTGTTTTATCTTTATTTGCTCAGTATCTCAGGGATTTTTGTGCAAACTCGTGGCAGCCGCGGAAATAATTTTGAAGTAGCGCCAAGAAATTGCGGAAAGGCTATGAAATATTACGGCTTCCATGTATTTATTTATTTTTTACTGTTAGTGTTTGTTGGAAAATCTATACTTTAACATTACTTACCTCTTCCTCAATTGAGCAATTTTCGATTATGCTCTTTTTTAAATTGGTTGCCATGACTTTGTTCATTATTCAGATTTTTTTTATTGATAATATCAACATAATTTTTTGAACAGTTTTTCTGCAAAAAATTTCTTCTTAAATTTTGTGAATTTGAGCAAGTTGTATACATATGACCATTTTGATTTGCAGTCATTCCGTTATAACTGAAACAGGTGCGAAAATTGAAATTTTTGCTAAATCATAGATAACATGCAGCGATTAAAAATATAATGTTGAGTAATCACGTATTTATAAGATTTTCTTCCATGCTTTTAAGTTAGAATTTGAAATTAAGGCTAAACTTTCCTTCACATAGGAAGTATCACATAGAAAGAAGATAGCAAAGTAAAAGGGAAATTCGAGAAATCCCTAATAAGTCGGTAATCTTCAAGCAATTTCTGGAGTACCAGATAATTCTCGGAAGGAAGTAAAAAAAGTTATTTAAAAATGTTTAGCTGTATTTGGTTCAGAATTATTTGGATAAAGGAATTTAAAAAAAATATGTTTGGGACTAAACTTTGTACCGATTGTTCACCAAATCACCTGTAATTTTGTTGGGATTAAAAGGTTTCGGCAGAAAAGATAATGAAGACTGTAGTGAGAATTGCCTGTAAAAAATATGTGTATCATGATATTTTGTGTCAGGAATCATAAATAATTTTAGTTAGCAGATATATTACACGGTGGAATGAAATCTGGAAAAAAAGCAAAAAACGCATATTTGAAACTTTGTATTTATTGTCTTCATAATCAACTGATACAGCAGGGTGTTTAAAAAATCGGTCAGTCGTTGGATTAGGAATCTAGATGTGGTTCAAGTATGCGTGGTTTTCCGAAAGTTTTTATTCTTGAAATGTAATTTTATTTCATTTATTGAATTCCTGTATATGTTTATGTTTTTCAATTTCTCTTATGAACATACGATTCAATATTGATCCATACAATAAAATTTTCATGAAATCAACTCAATTATAATATAAAATAAAAAAGTGGGGAGACATATTGATTATCTATTTATTTTTATATTTACAAAATTTTCAGCCTTGCGTTTGTTTATTTTCGAAAAAATTAGTCATTTACTGGTGTTCGAGATCTCTTGATACGTTTTTCACGATCTTGAATAATGATAATTATTATCAGTTGATCCTGAACGTCAAGAAATTCTTCAGACAATGAAAAAGTACGAAATTAAATTGATAAATAATAACAATTATTATTAATTTTTTAATTAATAGGAAATGAACTGTAAATTTATTCTTCGTAATTGGTAAAGTTTCATTTAATTACATTACAAATATTTCGTTTATTCACGGATTAATAACTTTTTCATTCTATAAGGATAATTTTGATTTGTTTTTTCAGTTTTCTTAATTTATTTTTAAATTTTAGAAAAATTGGTAGAAAATAAAATAATTATTAATTAGTTCTTAATCAATTAATCCTTAATTAATTAATTCTTACTTCATCCTGATTTTAATTAATCAATTAATTTTTGTTTTTTTATTTTAATTAATTTGTTTGTTTTGTTTTTTTTTTATTCGTAAAAGAAGAAAAAGCATTAGTTAATTAATTAATTAATGTTTTTGTTTTTATTTGTAAGAAGAAAAATTGCAACAAAACAAAAATGGTAAAGTGACGAGAAGTTTTAAAAAAAGAATGAAATAGGATAACATAAGTAGAAAAGAAACATGAAAAGGTAGTCTAAAAGATAAATTAAAAAATACTAAAAAAAAATTATCATTTGAAAAAAGATATCAAAATTTGATAATCTTTAAATAGGAAATACAGAAGTATCATTTTATGATAGTACATTAAGTTTATTAGTCTTATGAATGTGGTACTAATTAGTAATACACACAGTTTGTCTTATGAATGTGGTACCAATTAGTATCACTTTCATAAGACTAATTGTTGATTAAACTTTGTACAAATTGTCTAATCAATGATGTTTTATACAAACATAATAGAAGTATAATAGAAATTAGTTTGCAATAATTAATAATTCATTAATTTAATGATATGATTTCGAATTTTACTACAGAAAGAACCTGTAAATAATAACGAAGTGCTTTTAAATGTGGTTTATCAATTAGCTCTTTTTTATTGTTGATATTTGTGAAATTGATAAATAATAATTCTATTAGTGATAATAATTAATGATAGTTATAATTAATAATAAACAATAATAATTAACAAATAATAACAATAAATAATAATGATAATAAATAATAAATAATAATGATTAATAATAGGCAATAATTAGTAATAAATAATAATAATAAATAATAACAAAAATAAATAATAATAATAAATATTAGTAATAGGTCAAGTTATCGATTTATTTTTTTGGAATTATATATGATATTTTCTCTTCAAGTATTCTTTATTTGCTCTTATTTTTCTATGGCTATTATAATACTACGATTAATATAATATTTTCATCACTAAGTATATCTTAAATATAAGACTAAATTTACTCCTACAACAAAGTTGAACAATAACGTCCCACTGTTTCATATTAATACTGCAAGATCATTAAGTATCCTTAAAATATGAGATAAAATTTACTCCTACAACAAAGTTGAACAATAACGTTCGACGGTTTCGTATAATACTGCGAGATCATTGAGTATGATATAAATATAAGATAAAATTTTCTCCTACAACAAAGTTAAACAATAACATCTCGATTGTTTCATTTCTCAATGGTATTAGAATCCTATCATTAATATACAATTTATATTATCACTTATTGTTTATTCTAATTTTACATCTTAATTTGTTAAAATTTAAAATAGAAAATTTATTTAATAAAATAATTGCAATTTTTGCCTTATAAATTTTCCGATAAAATATATTTCCACTTAAACGTAATATATGTATGATCTATTGATAAGATTAATTTAAATAGCATTTTGTAAAATTTATATGTTTACTTGAGAAAGCCTACATATGCAGGAATAATAGCAACGAAGTAAATAAATTTAAATTAGATGTAAGATGTGAATAAATAAATCGATGAACGATGAATGATGACTCATATTGTCAACAATAGAGATTTCCATTTAAAAGATATATATATATGATAAACCACATCAGTTACTTTTACTTAATCATTCATTCACAAGAAGAATTTATAGTGAAAATTTGATATTATACTATCATAAATATTGATTTTTTTCTTTCTTGTTCTTATATTTATACCTAAAATAAGTTAGAATTTTATTATTATAATTTAGTATTATGTAATGAAATTTAATATTGTAATATAATTAATATAAATTTTAAGTAAATTCGATTTTAAATTTGAAATAAGTAATGAAATTTGAGAAAAAAAATATACCATAATATATTATAAATTATAAAAAATAGATAAAACTATACCATAATATATTATAAAATATAAAATATATAAAACATATTAAAAATATACCATAATATTGTTACAAATTGTAAAACATATAAAAATATATAAAAAAATTCCATAATATATTATAAATTATACATATAAAAAAATACACCATAATATATTATTAATTATACTGTACCATAATGTATCAT